CTTCAAATGCTTATAAAAGTATTTTATTATCATTTTATTCATATTAAAGGCATTAACTCCTACGTTTATTACTCATTAGCCAACAAGTTCAATAACTTATATTTAAAAATTTTTTTAAATTATTGATGAAATTTTGTTTTATTTAATAGACATATTTACAATCTACATATACAATTTGTACAATAAGTAAATTTGATAACATAAGTAATAATAAAATCACGACTTGATGTCTTGAGGGAGGAAAACCGTCCATCAACAGTAGGTACCTCCTATTTAATTTTGTGGGTTTAGGGTTCATAATGAGATTTAAAATATATATGTATATTGTATATATATATTACATGCACATTATATAACATTTATAARAAATTATCACAATCGGGGATTTATTTTAAATTTAATTAATAATCTGAAAATATATTATTTTATCTATGTAGCATGTATTGTACCTATATAAAAAATAATATTATTTAGGTATTTATCTAACTATATAATTACTTACCAATAGAATCTATAATTTTCAACAAGCTATTAAGCTAATAATTAAAATATGATGTTCATAAAATTAAACTTCGATTCTTACATAATTAAAAATAAAATATTTGAAATTTTATCAAAACATATTGAAGAATTCYTGTAACCTATTTTCTTTACAACTTTAAACTTATATTATATAATATTATCATTATTAATAGTATAATTAATTAATTATAAATGTAATTCGTGACTATTTATAATTACCATTATGTACAACATGGCAATATTATTACATACATACATTATATTAAATGTGTAGTTAAATTTGCATGATTGGTAATTTGTCTACTGCATAAGTAAATTGTTAGTTTTATTGTCTATTTGAAGGAAATATTACAGTCCATGACACATAAATATAATATATTATATAGATTCATGTTCTTAATCTTGTTTGGTGCCAATGATGAACTCTTCAAAAGAAGATAAAGGCTCTATCCATCAAGGCTGTTTTGATGCCCATGTCAATATTAAATTTTCACAATTTTATTGTTTTCTTACTGAAAAATCGTCTTTGAGTTAATGTATATCAAGGTATTAAGTGTATTGTATTTACATTTGTATAAAAATAGAAATTTATTATCTATAACAAATTGAAGGGCGTTATTAAATTACTCTAAATGAAGGTCTCAATGCTTTGCACATATAGGTACATTACATCTTAATGCAGTTATTATTATTTCAAATATTTTTCATACAATAAAATGCATTGATGGGAACGTTTTTTCAGACAAATACGTACACTAAAGAAATTTGTTAAAGAYGAACTTCCAAAAATATCCACTCAGAATAATATTATAATTTTTAATTTTACACAACGTAGATACTTTAATGATAATGACAATAATATAATAATAGTATTTGGTAGGTATCTATTAAAATTAATAATCAGATAAAATTGATATGCCTATTATGACCGTGAATTCGTAATTCTATAAAACCAGTAACCACCTCTTTGATTTTTTTGATTTTTTTTGCTTTACATTAATAATATGAATTCACTACTGTAAAAATAACTTTATATTAGAAAAGATTTGAATTCACACGCATTAAAAAAAATTTACACACCTAAAACGTACGTTATCCCAGCCCCACCCGGAGAAAATTC